GAAGCTGCTGTCGTTAAGCATCAGATTTAGCTCTAAGGTTCCTGGAAGCCAAGGCAAAAATGGAAACAAGACGAATCAGTCTCAAAAGGTTTGCTATCAGAGGAAAGGGCATCTCCTAGTTTTCGGGACAAAAATTCCAGTAATTTTTCATGCTGGAGAAATTTCTCAACTAGAGTCACATATTGATAATATTCTCCATAAATCTGACAGCAAATGGAGATTAAGTTTCACATGGTGATTTCTAATCACAACCTTTGACGAAAGCTCAGGGCATATTGTTAAAACATAACTCTAGGAGAATTATTCTGCCAGAGACCAAGCAAGGGTAGTACCAAGCACTTTACACGAATTCTCTCATTTGCTCCTCTCAACAGCCCTACCTCAGAGCAGGTCAAATTATTACCCTTGTTTTACAGATGAGGGAACTAGGATACAGAGAGAGGAAGGGCCAGATCAGATAGCTGGTGGTGAGCCAGTTTTGTAAGCCAGGTCTTAGACTTTAGAGGCCCTTCTAAATGTCCTCCCCCTGGGCCTGCCAGCACCACCACATACAAAATTATAAGTGGTGTGGGTTGAGAATCAGAAAAGCACAAGAATCATTGCCCCAGAATCCGTCAGTGTTAGCCAAGAGCAATCAGTGAGATCTGGTAAATGTTGGAGAAACCTCCAGGCTTCTTAAGATGGGCTGCTCCTGATGGGGTGAGAAAGTAGGGGTCGGCCTCATGAGGGCAGAAGGAGCTTGACTAGAACATGTGGGGCTTCAAGAATGGAAGGAGAAATAATAGTCAAAGCAGCTGTCCTAGGGCAGCTGACGTCTGGAACAGGAGAAAACTCTCTTGTGTCTCATTTCCTACTGAGTACCTGCTATGTATGCACCAGGTACCGGTGCTGGGACAACAAGGGAACTGGCCCGTTGGGTGAAAGGCACTAAGTTGTCTCATTCTCCAAATAAGCCTACAAAGTAGGTATGATTATGCCATGTTAATGATGAGGAAACTGAGGCTCAGAACAGTGAAATGATTCACCCAGGGTCCCACAGCTGGTAAAGGGTGAGGTGCAGTTGGAACCTGGGTCTGTCTGACTCCCAAACTTCTTTTAATGAGCCACCACTGTTTCAATAGTAGGAGAGAAAAGATCTTATGGATAGACATTTAAATCTATTCTATTTCTTTCTTGTTGTTGTTTTTTAAATAAAACTTAAATAATTGAACACCAAATTGGTACACACCCACTATCTTTTGGCAGAATTTTTTAAAAAGTGACTTTTTGATTATGAAGTTAGCATTACTCAACAAAAAAAGTTTGGAGAATACAGGCATGTAGAGAGAAGTAAAAGAAACAAAACCCAATCAGATAATTTTTTGACTATTATTAACATTTGTGGTGTGCCTCTGCACTCTTTGCTATGAATAATTTGTGGTTTGCATTTTACACTGAAGTTATCCAACTGCATACCTGCTTAACATTATACGCATTTTTTCCTTTTATTAAGCAGGTTGCATTACCATCAGTTTATGAACTGTGAAATATCCCATCTGGTAGACAAACTTTATGTTTTTAATCATTCCTTTCTTGGTGGTTTCTTCTAAATTTTGCAGTTATAAAAATATTTCTTAAAAAATTTTGGAGCATATAGCTTTGTCCTAATTTAGGATTATTTCCCTGAAATTAATTCCCAGCAGAGGAACTCCTGGGTCAAAAGGCCTGGATGTTACTTAAGCCTTTGATGCATATTGCCAAATTACTTCCCAAAAGATTTTAGCAAGTCATTTTCCCACCAGAAATGTAGAAGTATCCAGCACTCACACTAACACCAGTCTTCGTGTTACTGGTTTTTTAAACTTCAAATTTGAAAGTTAAATTTAGGGGCTAGCCCTGTGGCCGAGTGGTTAAGTTCGCATGCTCCGCTGTAGGCAGCCCAGTGTTTCGTTGGTTCGAATCCTGGGCACGGACATGGCACTGCTCATCAAAGCACGCTGAGGCAGCGTCCCACATGCCACAACTAGAAGGACCCACAATGAAGAATATACAACTATGCACCAGGGGGCCTTGTGGAGAAAAAGCAAAAAATAAAATCTTTAAAAAGAAAAAAAGAAAGTTAAATTTAAAAAATGATTTAGTTTGTACTTCCTTGATAACTTGTGAGCTAGAAAACGTCCCATGTTTATTGTGTTTCATCTGTCTCCTTTGACCATTTATTGGGTTCTTAATCTGTTTTTTATCAATTTTATGTATTCTTTACATAATAGAAATATTAACCCATGGTCTGTAAGACATTTCCCCACTCTGAAGTTTGCCTTTTACTGTTGGCTATGATTCTGGAATAGGGTAGGGTTTTTTGGTTTGTTTCCAGCAACAGAAGTTAAAGAATGTTTTGTAAATAAACCTGCCCATCTTTTCCTTGTGACTTCTTCCATTTTCTCTAATCCTAGAAAATCATTCACTCCTCCAATGGCTTCTTTTCTGTTGGGTTCAAGAATTGATGAGAAGTCTGAGCTGTTTTGTCATCCTCTGAACAACAAAGGAGAGAAGATGATTATTTCCTTTTTTTTCTGCACCTACTTGACTTTCCTTGACTCACTTTTTGTGTTGGTACCTTGACATATGCTCATTGAGGGTGGGGACTGTAGAAGGAAATGTGTGTACGTAAAAAAAAAGTCTGGAAGAATATGTACCGAACATATGAACACTGGTTATTTCCGATTGGTGGGAGCAGGGCTGGGATGGATTTGTTATTCATGCCTGCCTAGCACCCCTACTTCCTTTGGGCAAGATACCCCCCTTCATTCCTTTTGACTCTGGTGTGGTTGCCCATGACAGCACGCTTGCTCAGTATAGTACCTCATTCCTATACCTGGCAACTGTTTTTGGGGTCAAGGGGTAGGCATGCCACTCCCGCAGAGCCCGTCAGAGTCTTCCCTGAGACTGATACACAAAACTGAGTCTCTCTCTCCTTCCACTGGCTTCAGCTGGAAAGCTGGGCCTGCTTCACACCACGTTTCTGGCCAGGTAGAGATCACTCTGCGGAGGAAAGGAAGCCAGTGTGCAAAGAGAAATCGAGACAAGGAGAGATGAGAGAGAGCAAATCGAATGAGTACTGCGGCTCCAGTTCTAATCTCCAAGCCCCTGGTCCATGGTGTTTTTCCTTCCATCTTGCATCAGCTACTATGAGCCATAGCTCCCTCTTCGGTGAAGCTGGCTTAGGTTGGGATTCTGCTACTTGGCAAGTGAAAGAATCTGCCCAGTGGCAAGGGTGGTCTTTGTGTGTTTTTAGTATTTTATGTAATTTTCCTGCAATGGCCTTGTATTGCTTGTTTAGTAGAAAAAAAAAAGAATGTGTGTGTTAAAAAAAGAAAGCATAAGTGCCCTTAGACATTTTCAAAAGCAGGCAAAATGTAAAACAGAGCATAAAAGTTGTACAAGTCCTCAGAAGGACAGAGGCCACCTTATCACCTTGGGAATGTTGTCAGTTAGATAAGCAGGAATTTGTGGTGAAACAGCCCCAGCTCAGTGGGAGTATTAGGTGGGCATAGGGGAGAGTAAGGGCTTAGCCCTGGGCAGGACGTGTGTTTTCCATGGACTAGGGAGTCTGACATACTGAGATTTGGAGAAGGAAAACTGCCCCTTAGCCCCCCGCCCCTGGACAAATCAGGTCCCTTCTCTGCGCCTCAGTTTACACTAAGTCTAGCTCTTGTATTATGAACCCCTACAGTATTCCAGACACTTCACATCCATTATCTCTTGGGATTCTTAGGAGAATTCCGAGTCAGTCATTGATATTCCCATATTCCAGATGAAGAAACTGAGGCTCAGAGAGGGAAAGTGTGACTTGGATAAGTCTAAAGCCTTTCTAGGGACCTCAGCCATCTTTCTTTCTCATCCGTAAAATGGGCATAATAAACTGACCACCTTCTACCTAGCCCCCAGGATAAGGGAGGGAAAAGCCAGTTGAAAATGAGTTCAGGTAAGCATTGTCCTCTCCCCAAACCCAGCTAGAAAATGTAGGAATTCGGGAGTGGGGAGAGGCACGGAGAGGTGATAGAGTTGGAGTTGGGGTCCAAAATAACGTGGGCGCCTCCTCTGGCTGGCCCTAGTCCAGCCCCACCCCCACTTCCTGCGAGTTGCTCCCCCCCTTCAGCCCGCGCAGAATTTCTTCCCAAGGAAGGCCTTGCACAAGAGGGCCTCAGTCAAGTCCCTTGGCCCCCTGCCTGCCGCCCCAGGAGCGGCTTCGTGCTCCCCATCTCCAACCTGGCTCCTAGCCATCAGCCCCTGGCGCCTGTCCAGTCACGTGCCACTTCGGTCCTCTTTCGCCTGCTTCCTCCAGGATCCTGATTTAGCTCCCCCGCCTCCCCCTTCCCTGCCGGCACCAGTCCCTCTGGGCACCGCACTCGTTTTGAGAGACAGGTGTAGGAGACTGGAGCCTCAGCGACGCCTCGCTGAGGGACCCCGGGTCTCAGTTTTCCTGCCTGTCAAATGGGGCCCCCACCCTACGACGGCTTCGATTCTCTGCACTGCCTACTCTTGCCCTGTCCTTTCCCTACTCCCGCATCCTCCCACCCCTCTCAGTCTCCCGAGCCTTTCCGAGGGCCTAATTTCCTTCTGGGCACCGGGCGGGGGAAAAAGTGAGGAAAGACAGAGCCCAAGAGCCCTAAGGGAGCTCCCAGAACTGGTCTTAAAGAAATTCCACGAGGCGACAGGGTGAAACTGGCCAGCCTCTGGCTTCAGATAGACCGGGGTTCGAATTCGACTCTGCCTCGGACTAACTGCTGATTTTGAACCCTTCATCTCTCTGGGTCTCAGTTGTCACCTCCGTGAAATGGGGGCCCTGCCGGAGACGAAGGCGGGAAGAGTCCACAGAGCATCTGACCTGAGTTAGAGGTTCTCCCCCACCCCGCGCCCCTTCCCCAGCCAGGGAGCCTCGCTTCGCCTCGCCTGGCAGTCCCTGGTCCCCCCGCCGCAGGCTCCTCCTCCACTGACATCAGAGCCGCAGGAGGGAGGAGGGAGTCAGCCGAGCCCGAGCCGAGCCCCAGCGAGAGAGCGGGCGGGCGGGCGCGCAGCGGCGGCGGACGGCGGACGGAGCTCGCGCCAGCCACCTCGGGCCTCCCAGCCAGCCCCGTGGCGGGGCAGCCGCAGGTACCGCCCGGGGCCGCTCGCCTGCGCCCCTGGGCGCTGAGGGCGGCGGAACCCTCAGCCGCTGGATAGTCTTGCCCAAGGATGGGAGGAGCTGCCCGGGAGGGCTGGACTCTGGATGGGCAGGGCTGGGCCCTTCTCCCCCCACTCTGCTCCAGGCCCAGCAGGTGCCAGGCAGGTCGGTGGGAAACTGAGTGGGTAATAGAGGAAGGTGGGGAGGGGTGTGTGTGTGTGTCTCAGTTCAGCTGGGCCTGACTGTGGAAGGGCTGGGCATTTGGAGGTATAGCTGTGTGTGGCCGTCTTGGGGTGTGCTGTCTTAGCACAGACATGTGGATCTGATACGGAGTTGCGTTATGTTGGTGTCTAAGGGCATCCTTATGGGTGGGGACATCTGGGAATCAGTGTTTTTGTTGCGGATGTGCATCCAGGTGTTGTGTGTGCTGGCATCTGGCTCAAAGGGTGGTAACTCAGAGTTGGGGAGTATACGATTGTGTACTGATTGTGTTTGGAGTTAGGTGTATAAGGAGCTGGGGTTTGGTTTGGAGTATAGGAGCTTCTAGGGTGTGTTGGAGCTGGAGGGTGAAAGGTGTGAGTGAATCTGGGCTGTCTGGTATACAGGTGAGGTCTGTGTGAATGTGTGTGATCCTGTCCAGGTGTGTGTAGATGTGTGTTTGGGGGTGGAAGGGATGTTTGGGTGTGAGGATGTCTGGGGCAGTATCTTTGGACATGTGTGCTGATGTCTGGGTGGACATGTATGATCAGGTGTCAGGGTATCTGAGCGTGGAGTGTGCCGCATCTGGGGGCAGGTATTTGGGTTCAGGGTTGTGGGTGGGGCTTGGCATGGTATGTCTGGCTGCAGGGATATGTGTGGAACTGTGAGGGTTGTATTTGCCAGGCCTCCAGGTGGGTTTTAAAACTCTGTGTCTAGAGCTTACCATCAAGTCTCCTTTCCTAGAAGTTTGTGCCCCTGGGATGGGTGGCCAATTCTCCCTGGGAACAAGATCTCATCCAAGGAGTGGGATCTCACACCAGGGGCTCTAGTCAGGGCATATTCCCCTCATTCTCCCACAGAGGAAACAGAGAAGGAAAGTGCCCACCCTGAGGTCACACAGCATGCTGTGCTGTTTTGGTCTTACCCTCTGTGGGCCTGAAATAGGGTTGAGAGGCTGTGTTTTCTGAATGGGCCCCAGTGCGGCTGCATATCGGAAGGACTAGCTGAGGGCAGCCCCTTCCAAGACCTTTGCCCTCAGCAAACTTAGCTGGGACACCAGCTAGATGTCACTGGGCAACTTTGGACCAGCTTCTTACCCATCACCGACCTCAGTCTCCCCATGCTCCATCTGATAAATCGGGAGAGAATTCTCACCCTCTCCTGCTGGAGGAGACAGAGGTATCAGCGGAGGAAGGGACAGGCTAGATCAGAGTGAGAAGAAGCCAGGAAGGGATAGGCTGGGTGGGATCATTTCTCAGGCTGTGGGGACCCAGATGGGGAGTCAGAAGGGAGAGGGGTAATAGGAGGCCCAGGGAGCTCCAGCTGTGGCTGCTGTTGCTGTGGTAACAGTGCAGAGGAGCTATTTAAAAACGTGGCTGAGACATTGCTGGAAGCCCAGGCTGCCGGAAACCTGATTTCCGAGAGGGAGAAGGAGGAGGGAGAGGAGACACCCCAGCAATTCCCAGGGTGGGGCTGGGGCATCACCGGTTCTGGGGCCAGAGGGATCTTCCGGGGCTGTGCACTTCCACAAGCTGCTCTGGGGTCTACTCTACTGTCCTCCCAGAGGTCAGGGTCCCCCTGGGTGTTTGGATTTGGAGAGGGAGAAACTAGGTGAGCTGAATAAATGAATGAGTGAATGATTTTGTTGAATAAAGAATTTTGCTGCCACCCTGAAGGATTTTCCTCTAGGCATAAGGATTTGCTGAATGAACAAATGACTGGTGAATGAATGAATGTTTGTTGAATGATTTCGTCAAATGGATGAATCAAGGAATGAATAAATGCAGGCTGGGTGACTGAATGGGGCCCCAAGTAAGTTCCCACATAGAAGGCTGGGCCCTACTGAGTCTTCTCCCTCCGTTCCCCTTCCCAGGAGTCCTGGCTGTGGCCGGGGGGCAGTGGGCCATGCCGGGGGAAGTGAAAGGCCCCAGCTGGAAGCAGGCAGAAGACATTAGGGACATTTACGACTTCCGAGATGTTCTAGGAACGTGAGTCTCGGGGCAGGAGAGAAAGGGGGGCTGTTCCTGAGCTGGGGGTGGGGTTGGGAAGGTCCTCACTGCTGGCCCTGGCTGGCTGGGGAGGCCGAGTCCAGGGTGGTACTTCCTATGGTCAGTTGATTACTACTTCCTGTTTCCTACAGCCCAGGCCCTATAGTGACCTTGCCATGGCTCAGACTGGCCCCGGCTTTTCACCTCTGGCTGACAGTGGGTGGAACAGGGGCTGCTCTTGCCACAGCTCTGGGTTTCTGTGAAGAAAAGGAAGTGAGGGAGAATGAAGGAGCCAGTTTATCCAACTTGCTGCCAAGAGCTGGGAGTTCTGGCCTGGGTTTGGGAACTGAAGCTGGGCATGGCTCTCTTCTCAGTGCTGGGAATCCAGAAATAACTCAAACCTGGTCTCTGCCCTGAAGTTGATTCCAGACATGTGCGGAGACAGACTCACAGAAAATGACAACAGGGTGTGTGCTGTGCTCCAGTTAAGGAAGGGAATGAGGACTTTGTGGAGTCCAGAGAGAGCAGGGGGCCTAAGAGCTGGGGGCTGAAAGATGGGTAGGAGTGCACTTGTCAGAGAGGGAGAAGGGCATTCCAGGCAGAAGGAATAGCACAAGCAAAGGCTCAGAGGCATGTTCTGTGTGGAAAGAGATAAACAGTCTGGTGGAGCTTATAATCGGAGGCTGGGGGAAGACGGGAACAGGCTAGAGAGGGAAACAGGTCATGGAAGGCCTTGAAGGCCAAGCCATGGAGGCTGGACTTTATCCCACAGGCCATAGGAAGACATTTAAGACTTTTCGGCAGGTTTACAGTTCAGAGATGGTCACTCTGGTCACAGCATGAAGGGTAAATTGGAGAGAGACAAGACTAGAAACCAGCAATGAGGCTACCACAGTCACTAGTTATTCTGATGACTGAGATTTCATCATGAGAGATGCTTTTCTTTGACTTAAGACTTTTATTATCCCAGGGAAAGCAAAAAGTTGTAGAAAGAATACTCTAGTAAACCCTCTTTAATCAGTGAACTTTAGTTCAAATCAGTAGTGCAAATCTAAGAGCCTGTTCTAAAGCACTGCTTCTCAAATGTCAGTGAGCATACGAATCACTGGAGGATCTCATTAAAATACAGATTCTGATTTAGTAGGTCTGGGGTGGGGCCTGAGATTCTGCATTTCTAAAAAGTTCCCAGGTGATGCTGATGGTTCTTCAAGGTTCTATAGGGTGTTAAATTAGACATGACTCAAACTGGCTTTAGCAGAAAACAGAACCAATCATGCACGTAATCAAAAAGCCCAGGGGATAAACTTCAGGCATGGCTGGATCCAGGGGCTCACATGATGTTATCAGGAAATTGTCTTTGACCATTTCTCAGCTCTGATTTCCTTTGTGTTGGCTTCATTCTCAAGCAGGCTCTCCCGAAGTGGTGGCAAGAAGGACCACCATTAGCTCCAGGCTTACATTCTACCAGCTTAGCAGGAAATAGCACCTCATTCTCAAAGTGCCAATAACCTGGCTTGCATCACATTACTGTGGCCACGGCATAGACTACTCTGATTAGCCAGGCCTGGGTCACGTGACCACCTCTGACACCAGGTAGTGGATGAGTGATAGGGGGAGGCTCATCCCACCTCCTTGGTCCAGAGGTGCTCACATAACCCACAGGGGATGGAGGAGAGGCTGGAGGGAAGCTGGGGTTCCAGTTCCCCACCTCATGAGTCCCCTCTCCCTGCAGGGGGGCCTTCTCCGAGGTGATCCTGGCAGAAGATAAGAGGACTCAGAAGCTGGTGGCCATCAAATGCATCGCCAAGAAGGCTCTGGAGGGCAAGGAGGGCAGCATGGAGAACGAGATCGCTGTCCTGCACAAGTGCGTGGGCCACTGTCTGTCCCTGCCCGGGGTTGATGCTGCCTTGACCCCTCCTATCGCTGCTTTGGGCAAATCATTTAACCTCCCTGAGCCTCAACTTGCTCATTTATAAGACGGGGTAATAATCTGCAGGTGGCAAGGTTGCGGAGCACATCAGAGGTCCTTTACTTAGAGCGCTGGCACTAGCGCTAACGTGACAGGAGTGATTGAGATGCCACAGCTTATTTACAGTGGTTTACTGTGTTCCATCAATGTAAAGATCAACCCTCGAACATGGCTTGAACCCACGCATCTCAATTGGTGTTACCCTTAGACCTACCTCACATTCCAACCACATATTAAAGCCACTGAGCAAGTTTGAAAATGCCTGTCTGCTGACCGCCTAAGTCAACACCACTGGTCTGTGAGTTGCTCATGCTGATATGAAACTTGCCATAGAGAATCTTCACTTCCAGTCTCTCCTCTGAGCTTTTCAACCACCCTGGGCAGGACGAAATGATCATTTCCACGATTGGTGGTGGGGTCAGAGGGAGGACTGAGGCCCAGAAAAGGCAAGGGACTTGCCCGAGGTCACACAGCAAGTTGTAGCTGAGCCGAGTCTTCCATCAAGCTCAATCACCATCACTGGTTCATCTATTGAGCACTCACTGGGTGCCAGGCACTGGGCCAAGCCTCTTACCTGCATTATCTCACGTGAGGGAAGTACTATCATTGGCTTCATATTATAGAGGAAGAAACTGAGGCTCAGAGAGGTCACACTCAATTCAATGAATATTAGTGAGCACCTACACGGCACCAGGAGCTGCAGGAGCAGTGGTGAGCAGGATAAAGCCCCTGGTCTTGTGGAGCTGATGTTCTGGTGGAGGAGGCTGACAAACTTATAAATACAGAAAAATTTAAAAAATCATATATTGATCAGTGCTGTGAGGTGAAAAGACTTGTTCCTAAATAGCACGTGGCAGAGGCAGGTTTGGACCCTGTGCTGCCCGATTCGAGAGCCTAGTGTTTACCTCTGTACTCTGCTGCCTTCCAATACCTTATAAACAATCATGGTAAATCAGCTTTTCCCTTTGGGACCCTGGTCCTTGGTTTGTCCCACCCAGGTCTGCAGGCGGTGGTTCTTCAAGGTGAGGGTGGGAAGGTGGCTGAGCTGTCCTCAGCTCTGAACCACTTCGATTCTCCTTTCAGGATCAAGCACCCCAACATTGTTGCCCTGGATGACATCTATGAGAGTGGGGGCCACCTCTACCTCGTCATGCAGCTGTGAGTGGCTCCGCCTCTGCGCCTTCCTTGCACCTCTCCCTGCTGCCCTCTCCCCAGCCTCCCTGCCTCCCCGGCTCCCTTGGTCAGACTGCCGTGTCCCCGGCTGCAGGGTGTCGGGCGGGGAACTGTTTGACCGCATTGTGGAAAAAGGCTTCTACACAGAGCGGGATGCCAGCCGCCTCATCTTCCAGGTGCTGGATGCAGTCAAGTACCTGCACGACCTGGGCATTGTACACCGGGACCTCAAGGTGGGGTGTGAGGGTGTGTGGGGAGCTGGGGCACCCAGGGGTGGGGGCTCTGCAGACTCCTCAGGGTGTGACCCTGGGTAACTCACTCCCTCGCTGAGCCTCAGCTTGCCATCTGCAAAATGAACCTTGTAAACCCTAACCTGCCTCCTCCCACTTCAGTTTGGACACTCAAATGGACACAAAGGTGAATTGTGCTTTTATTTTATCAAAATAACATCTTGTGTCTTTTTGTGATAATAAAAGTTCCACTTGCTTTCTGTAGAAAACTTAGATGGGGCAGCAAAATATAAAGAAGAAAGCCAGAAACCCCTGAAATCCTACTTCTCAGAGATTATCGTGGGGTTCACGTTTTGTAGTACATCTCATTCTGGTCTAGGAGAAGAGTGCTGGGGTGAGACAGATCTGGGTTTGAATTCTTGCCCTGTTACTCCCTAACTGTAGGTTCTTGGGCAAGTCATTTTGCTTCTCACGGCATCAGTTTCCTCACCTGTAAATTAGGATTATTCACACTGGCCTGGCATGATGTGGTAAGGATGAAATGAAATCAAGCACTAGCACAGGATCTGGCACACAGTAGGTGCTCAGAAATTATTTCTTTAGGGCTTCACCATATTTACTTGAGGTTTACAGAAAATTCCCTCCCACATTCCCGAGGCCCTTATCCTTTCTGGAACTTTTTTTTTTTGAAGATTAGCCCTGAGCTAACTACTGCCAATCCTCCTCTTTTTGCTGAGGAAGACTGGCCCCGAGCTAACATTCATGCCCATCTTCCTCTACTTTATACGTGGGACGCCTACCACAACATGGCTTTTGCCAAGCAGTGCCATGTCTGCAGCTGGAATCCTAACTGGTGAACCCCGGGCCGTCGAGAAGCGGAACGTGTGAACTTAAACACTGTGCCACCAGGCCGGCCCCCTTTCTGGAACTTTTAACTTCCTTGAGAACTTCCTCGAGTTTCTTGTGCTTTCAAACAAGATGGCAGCAATGAAGCCATAGGGGCTTTTGGGGAGCCAAAGTTTCTCAGGAGGTGCTTGGGGAGACAGAAGGTTCTGCCAGGCTCTGGCTTTCTCTGACTGTCCCTCTTGCCCTCCTAGCCAGAGAATCTGCTGTACTACAGCCTGGAGGAAGACTCCAAGATCATGATCTCTGACTTTGGCCTTTCCAAAATGGAGGACCCTGGCAGCGTGCTCTCCACAGCCTGCGGGACCCCAGGATACGTGGGTGCGGAGGGCCCTGGGCTGGGGCTGTGGGCTTGGGGAGGAACCAGGAGGTTCTGCAGGGCAGAGATTCATCACTACCATGTCCCCTTCCCTCCGTAGCCCCTGAGGTCCTGGCCCAGAAGCCCTACAGCAAGGCAGTGGATTGCTGGTCCATTGGCGTCATTGCCTACATCCTGTGAGTGGGGGCTTGGCCATTGAGGCATGTGGCTCCAGACTTCTCCTCTCCTCTCCCATCTTCCTCCCCTCTGCTATTTCTTCTTTCCTACCATCCATATTTTTATCTAGCAATTAATGACTAGTATTACTTCACTCAATAGATACTATGTTTTAGGCATGTGCCAAGCACTGGGGATTTGGCAGAGAACAAAGCGAACAAAGTGCCTGCCCTCAAGGGGCAGACACTCTAGTAGAGGAGACAGACAAGTAAATAAACAAGTAAACAAGTAAGTAACAAGTAGATAAATCTATAAAATGTCAGGTGGTAAAAAAAAATGCTATGAAGAAAAATCAAGCAGGGTAGGGAGACGGGGATGGATGCCATTTTAGATAAGGAGGTCAGGGAAGGCCTCTCTGAGGTGGTGACATTTGAGTGGCATCCTGAATGAAATGAGGGAGCCAGACATTCGAGGTGTTGGGGGAAGAATGATTTAGGCTGAGGGAATAGCAAGTGCAAAAACCCTAAGGAAGGGGGCTGGCCCCGTGGCCGAGTGGTTAAGTTCGCGCGTTCCGCTGCAGGCGGCCCAGTGTTTCGTTGGTTCGAATCCTGGGCGCAGACATGGCACTGCTCATGAAACCACGCTGAGGCAGCGTCCCATATGCCACAACTAGAAGGACCCACAACGAAGAATATACAACTATGTACTGGGGGGCTTTGGGGAGAAAAAGGAAAAAATAAAATCTTTAAAAAAAAAAAAAACAACCCTAAGGAAGGAAAGATGGCAGCACATTAAGGAAGAGAAAGAAGGCCAGTGTAGCTGGGCCCGGTGAGCAAGGCAGAAAGGGGTAGATTTCCCCTGCTTCAGAAAAGGGCCAACTCCTTGCTGTGGTTCCTGCCTGACCCCTGGGACTGTCCCAAAGCTCCATCCCGGAGCCAATGGATGCACTGAAAGTAGAAATGAGGATGAGTTTCTCTCTGCCCAGGCTCTGCGGTTACCCCCCCTTCTACGACGAGAATGATGCCAAACTCTTTGAACAGATATTAAAGGCCGAGTACGAGTTCGACTCTCCTTACTGGGACGACATCTCTGACTCTGGTATTTGAGGCTTCGCCTTCTCCTGAGCCCTGCCTCTGGTGCCTTCCTCATCTGCTCTGGGGGTCTCCTCACTACCTTCCTTTGGTCAGCTTCCCCAGCCCTAGACTAAGACCTGTCTTGAGATCAGACACCCCAGATGCTTCCCTCTGCCTGGCCCTGGTCTGAGAAACTTGTAGGCATGCATTCATTCTGTCTTCATACATAGTATTTTTGAAAATACCTCCCCCACTGACCTCCTATTGGCTAAAACACCACCATAAGACTTTTCATCTGCCTTTTGTGCCTCCTATTAGGAGGCAAACCTGTGAAGCCATTATCAATCATTTACATATCAGTGTGAATACACTGTGTAGAATCTTCTCTAAGAACAACTTTTTCTTAAGGAGAAAAGGAGACAGCTGGAAGGCTGGGGTGGGTGGGGGGCTTAGAGAAAGGCTATAGGTGGGGTAGGGCAGTACATGGACAGATCTGGCCTCTTGTTTTGCTTGGATGCCAGGGCAGACCTGAGGGGGTGGGTTCTGTCTTGGGGGTGTCCACAGGCACCGCCACGCTGTTTCTGTCTTTGCTCTTGTCTTGGGGGTTCAGCTAAAGACTTCATCCGGCACTTGATGGAGAAGGATCCAGAGAAGAGGTTCACCTGTGAGCAGGCCTTGCAGCACCCGTGGTGAGAACTCCCACAAGCTGTGGACTGGGGTGGGGTCTGGGGCCCCCAGGCCTGCCTCTGCCTTCACAGATAACCCTCCACACGCCCCCTTCCTAGGATTGCAGGAGATACTGCTCTAGATAAGAATATTCACCAGTCAGTGAGTGAGCAGATCAAGAAGAACTTTGCCAAGAGCAAGTGGAAGGTGAGCCGACAACCCTAGTCCTTGGTTCCAGCCTCCCCAGGACTCCTCCCCACCCCCATCCAGGCCTCGGTGTGCACAGCACCTAGCACCAAGTCGGGCACACAGTAGCTGCTCAGGGGTTCTTACTGAAGAACCTCATTCACTCATTCATTGATTCATTCAACACTCCCTGACACCTACTCTATTCCAGAAGGTCTGTGACCTCCAAGTCTAGAGGGAGAACAGTGTAAAATTCTTAAGGAGACATCTAATCCAATCTACAGGGTCCTGGAGGGAGCATAAAGGTGGTAATTGCCCAACAGACCTGTCAGACCTGACAACTGGCACAGCAGAATAATGTCTGAGGCAGAGGGAACTGGTGTGCAAAGGGCCAGGGCCAAGAGAGCCAGGGAAGTGCAAGTGTTAGGCCTGGCTGGACTGGAGGGGCTGCGGGGGCTGCAGTGGCTGCTGGGCAGGAACACAGGCTGGAGGCGCAGGTAGGGGCCGGGCTGCTCAGGGCCTCGGATGCCACAGTAGAGCACTGACTTGATCCTGAGGGCACTAAGGAGCCCCAGAGGGATTTTCAGTAGGAACTTGCCTTTTAGAAAGGGCTCTCAGCATTCTCAGAGGCACAGAGTGAACACTGGAGGACCCCTGAGGAAGCTGTGGCAAAGATGCAGGCAGGAGAGGGTGAGGGCCTGGACGAGCTCAGTGGCCACGGGAACAGAGAACAGTGGTTGGTCAAGGCGTCATTCAGGAGGTAGAGCCAACAAGAAATGATGATGGAATGGATGTTTGGGGAGAGAAGAGATGTCGAGGGCTGGCTCAATATTTTGATAGGGGAAAAGGTGGACCATGGTACTGTCACTGAGATGGAGATCCCAGGGGCAGAAACTTATCTTGGGGGAATGATTTTGGTTTGGGACATGGTGAATTTGAGGGGTATGTGGGACACCTCAGTGGATATGTTGAATAGGGAATGAGACACACACACCTGAGCAAGTTACTTTAACCTCTCTGTGCCTTAGTTTTCTCCTTTGATAATAGTAATACTAATAGTGCCCACCTCAAAGACTTCTGTGAAGATTAATTACTATGTAAAGTGCTTAGAACAATGCCTGATACATAATGCTATATTGTTTAATATATTAAATTCATAATTAAATATGAATATGAATTAATTATATATAAAAAGTTATCTATGTCTGTTTATACATATACATTTTATATCTGTGTGTGTATGTATGTGTAAATATATAATATGGGTAGATATAATTTAATAAAGGCTTGCAGAGGTTTCATGGGCTTTTAGGGGATCAATCAATAACACCTGAATGAAATAACAGAACCACTGCAACAATCCCGCCAGACCCTACCCCACGATCGCCCACTATCAAAAGTCCCTTGTCCCCGCTCTCCCCACAGCAAGCCTTCAATGCTACGGCCGTGGTGCGGCACATGAGGAAGCTACAGCTGGGCACCAGCCAGGAGGGGCAGGGACAGACGGCGAGCCACGGGGAGCTGCTGACTCCAGCAGCTGGGGGTGAGCACCAGGGCCCTGTGGAAGGGCATGGGTGGGTCATGAGGAGGCACCCAAGCTGGAATGAAGGGTCTGCTCATAGAGCCAACTCTGTTCTCTCTTCTCGTGTAGGGCCAGCGGCTGGCTGCTGCTGTCGAGACTGCTGCGTGGAGCCAGGCCCAGAGCTGTCCCCCTCCCTGCCCTCCCAGCTCTAGGGCCCTGGATCCAGGTTCAGGATCCCTTGTGTGAGGGGGGTTGGGGGCGGCCTGCTCCCTTCCCTCCCTGAACTGGGAAGTTACCCTGCCCCACCCCCTTCTACCCCTTTCCCTACCCTTCCTCCACAGCATTTTCCATACAAATATTTCTATTTTATTGTTCCTTCTTGTAATAAAGGGAAGAAGATAAAACCATAGGCAGCTCTGTCTCCCAGATAACCCCCAGCCCACACTGTTGTGCAAACTGCTTGATTTGAGGGTGCCTGGCCCCTCAGGTAGTTGCAGGAAGCCCGCTTCCCAACATGAGGCTGGATGGGGGAGAGTAGGGGGAATGGAGGGGAAAGGTGTTTGGGGAATCCCTTTGTCCAGCGTCCCCGCCTAGCCTTCTGGCCCTGCGGATCTCTTTCTGCGCTTTGCTGGTGGCTCCTGAGCTCGATGGGGTTGGTGCAGGTCAGCACTGAACAGCACCTGGGGGCAGGCGGAGGAGTTTGTGTGGGGAGAGGGTACAACTTGGGGCAGGGCCAGTGGGGCTGGTGGCAGTGTGAGGAGGTAGAAGAGTTCATGGTGGGCTGGGCCAGGGCAACAAAAGTGCACTGGAGTCAGGGCTGGGGTGGGTGGAGAGTCCTTTGGGTCACCTGGGGTAGTGGTGGTGGTGTAAGGGTCCACTGGGTCTGGGCTGGGGGACACGTCCTATGGGGTCTGGGCTGGAGGAGGAGGGGAAGCCTAGGTACACTCACTGCTTGGGCCCAGCCTGCATAAGGTCCCCACAGGCTCCGGAAAAAGTTTCCTAAACCAGAAGTGATGAGGCAAAATTAATTGGCCCCTCTTGGGGTGGGGTTTTAGGGAGAGGTGTGAGAAGTTTCCACTCCCTCAGCCCACTGCCAGCCCCACATCCCACTCTCTCTCCTTACCCAGTTCCTTGTTGGCCTGAGGGCTCGGACCCTTGGCCTGGGTCGTGGTGGGGTGCCAGCTGTAGTCACGCTGGGCAATCTGCCACATGTGGACATCCACAGGCACGGCCTGGGGCTTGTCTAGGGCCATCAAGCAGATGCAGTCTGCCACCTGTGACAGACACAGAGTAAGCCACAGAGGAGGAATGGCAGGATCCAGCCAGCATCCTGCTTCTAGCCCCAAAGCCAGCTGCTTCCTCCTCCACTCTGAGGTTACTATTATTCTATTTTCTCAATCAATAAATACCATCTATTAATAACTTTAAAAATGGCTTTAAAAAGATGCATGAACATCTACGTGGGCCAGGTTCTCATCATAACCTGGGAAGGAGGTAGTCCTATATCCATTTTGCAGACAAGAAAACTGAGGTTCTGAAAGGTGAAGGGACTTGGCCAAAGTTACATGGTCAGGAAGGGGCAGAACCAAGATTTAATGTTAGGCTGGAATTCAGAGCCCATTAAAAAAGTTCTTTAAGGTGCCGGCCCCATGGCCTACTGGTTTGGTTCAGTGTGCTTTGCTTCAGCAGCCTGGGTTCGGTTCCCGGGTGTGGTCCTACATCACACATCAGTGGCCATGATGTGGCAGCGTCCCACATACAAAACAGAGGAAGATTGGCACAGATGCTGGCTGAGGGATAGTCTTCCTTAAGCAAAAAAAGGGATATTGGCAACAGATGTTAGCTCAGAAAAAATAAAAAGTTCTTTAAACAAAAATTCATTTTTTAAGCTACAGAAAAGTATAAAGAAAACAATAAATGCCAAATTCCCAATCATCTTACTGCTAGCTAAACCTGTTGACATTAAACAAAAAGTTTTATAAGTACATATAATTTCAAGAGAAGGACAAAATAAAAAGCGGAAACATCTTCCCATTTGTAAAGGTAACCACTATTAGGTTTCCTGTGATTCCTTCGGAAATTTCTGCACACATATAACAGCGTATATAAGCACCTGAACAAACGGCCTTTCTAAAAATGCATTCAAAAGGTAATGTCCTTTATACCCTTCCTGCACTCTGCATATTCTCTAATAAAACATCTGCTTGCATCCTTTCTCCTTCCTGTTCTGCCTCCAGAAGCCAAGCCTGCACCCAGCTCTTAGGCCTGCCTTGTCTCCTACTCTGCTATTCTCCGAGTGGGTGGTGAGGGCAGCCCCTACGCACCTGGGTCCTCACCTTGGTGCCCACCCCGGGCAGGCTGCAGAGGGCCTTGTGGGCCTCCTCATAGGGGGCCTTGCACAGCTGCTGCAGCCAGGGCAGCCCGCCCTGCTCTTCCAAGATAGCTCGGGCACTGGCATTCACGTAGCGGGCACGGTACCCAAGGCCCAGTTTCCTGAGCTGAGCCTCCACCTCTGGTCCTGTGGGAGTAGGGTAGGGTGGGGAGGGGAGCACGGGTCAGGCATCCTCAAATCCTTCCTGTCCTCAGGCTAACGTTGTGAGCCCTCTGGCCCAAAGGAATGCTTTCTCTAAGCACCCCTCTCCCACCTCACCACCCTCTGGAACACAGGAGACACTTGCATGTGCAAAGAAAAGGGTTAAGGCCTGGGTTCTGCCCCTCTATAAATGTTTTCTGAGCATCTACTATGTGTTGGGCACTGGAGCAAGGACTGAGGACTTGCTGCTCTGGAGGAACTCGCTAATTGAGTTCCTTAACCTTTCAAAGGGCGTACACACCCATGATCTAAAATAATAACCATAATGACAGCAACAGCTTCTATTATCAAGCGCTGGGTATCAAGTACGGGTGAAGTGCTTTAGGTACATTATCATGTTTACTTTTCTCAAGGACCCTCATGACACTTGACATTTTTTCCCCATTTACAGATGGAGAAAATGGGGGCTTAGAAGAGGTTAAGTAACTTTCCCAAGAAATGACATGGTGGAGATGGGATCTTGCACCCAGGTCTGGGACACCAATGCCTGTGCTCTTAACCCATCACTCTACCCCGCCTCATGATTGCTTTATTCAACCCTCAAGCTCTTCTAGATAGAAACTGTTATTCCATTCTACAAAGAAATTAACAGAAGCTTGGAGAGGTGAATGAATTTCTTGAGGTCTTATGACTACTAAGCTGGGAGCTAAGACCCAAGACTGGGTTTCTAAGCACCAGAAACATTCTCTCTTCTCCAGGGAGGCTGTCTCCTTGCTATACAGTCCCCAAGCACTTCCCCTAGCTTGGTTCTCACAATGCCAACTGAGATACTTGCCTCGCAGGGCTGCCGTGAAGAACACATGTGTTCTTGGATGCAAAATTGTTAGATTCACTGCAGAGATAGCAACTTAAATTTTCTGCATACTTCCCAAATGCCAAACGTGTGCTAGGTGCAGTAAGTATATTCCTTTATTCAACCCTCGTGACAACTCTGATAGGTAGGTGCTATTATTATCCCATTCCATAGGCAAAGAGAGGCTAAACAATGTGCTAAGGTCTATAACTGGAAGTCAAATGTCAGAGTTGGGATTTAGACCCCGGCAGTCTGTCTCCAGAATGCATGCTTTTAACCCCAAACTACCACACACTGTATACAGATGTTTTGCTGATGAGGCACTGAATGCATGGGGCAAAAAGCACAGACTAGTAAGGTGCTGACATTTCAGGGACAGATAGAGAGGGTAAGATATAAATGGGACTGATCAGACCAGGCAGGGTGGGTCTGGACAAGGGCAGTGTTTGGGAAGGTAGGAAGCTTACAGATGGGAGATGGGGACCAGGAGAGAAGTGTACAGATCTGAAAGCTGTTGGAGGGTCTAGGGGCAGAGACCCACCTACTTACCAGCCAGGGCCTGCAGGCTGGGGAAGCCATGGTAGGTGACATCATCAAGCTGGAGGAGCCGAGGTCCAAAGGCCTGGCAGAGCCGCTCCACCATGCCAGTAATGCGGGCAATGTTGTTGTTAGAGGAACAGATGAAGGAGAAAAGGCACTCGATGGGGTCCTGCTGCAGGAGTCGCACACCTGGGAATCAGAAAGGCAGGGGGTAGGAGAAGCACCTGCTGTTGGGATTGGCCCCCGCCCACCCTTAGATCCTAGGCACCAAGGCTCCAGGGGAGCCCAGGGGAATGAGGGACAGTGTTGTTAGAGCAACATCAGAGCTCTCATTCTTCATAGCCTCTTGTGAGGTCTGGGTTATCATCCCATTCCATAGATAAAGCAGCCACAATGTAAGCACGATGAAGGTGGGGATTTGTGTGTTTTATTCACTGTTGTATCCCCAGTCACATAGCGAATGCTCTGTAAATATTTACAGAATAAATGACATCACCTGCCCCAGATCACAAATCCAGGATTTGCACAATATCCTTGTCCCTCTTCTATGGTGATCAGCAGGACAATAATAATAGTAATAATAATTACTATGTGTCAGGCAATAGTCTAAGCACTTTACACGTATTAGCTCCTCTAATCTTCATAAAATCCTATGAGGTAGATATAATCCCCATTTTACAGATGGTGAAACCAAGTAACTTATCCAAAATACAAGAACCCCAATCTGTGCCCTAGGCCCTGTACTCACCTTGGAATTTCTGAGCCACCTCTTGGAAGTGGGGGTCCACCGAACTCCAATGGTGATACAGTTGAGCTAGGCTGACATCCAGTTGGAAGTACTGGCGCACGGCCTTTAGCTCTTCTAGTGTGGGCTTGCCAACCTGGCGCTTGTCCCCTCGGTAGACAGTGCAGTAGAGCTGCTCCTCAGTCTGCGTCAGTGTCCACACCTGGTTCGCCAGCACGCCACTCCAGTGCGCTGGGCTTTGCTCCCTCCACCTGAGCCCCCAGGCACATGGCAGCCCTAGTACTCAGTTTCCCTTCCTGCACCCTCTGGGGCCCTCCCACCCTACAACTGCTCCATATACAAAAGTGATTTAGGAATTGCAAAGTAAAGTGCCTTCTTCTACATCAATTATATCGTTTCATTCTCACAATACTGCACAGGCTTATTACCTCCACTTTATAAAGGAGATAACAGGCTCACCATGCGCGCCTTGGTTTACTCTTTTGTACCCTGAGGTTTTTCCCATGACCTCCAACATTCCTTTGCACCCCAGGCCTACACTGCTGAGGAACCAGGAGACAGGGTGACTCACCGGAAGGACTGGCCAGAAGCCAGAACCAGGTCTAGGCGCAGCTCGGAGCGTGGACAGGGGATGCAGGCCCACAAGGCCGGGACGGAGGCTAGAGTACGATGCCCCATGCTACCCGCCAGAACGGAGGGAGCCATATTTCCATATCAGGCTCCGCCCCATAACGGC